CAGGGACCCAGGGTCCTGTTGGCTGCCAGATATCCTGGACTCTGGGCCAGTAAGAAGGCTGTCTTGTGTGGATGGGGGGCGGACCATGTGGAGGTGGGTAGAGCCTTAAAGGCAGGGATACCTGGGAAGATTCAAATGGGTGCTCACCCTCAGGGGCTCCGGATGCACCGCAGGTACCTTGTCCTCTCCCCACTGGTCTCCCCTGGCCTTGGCTCTATCTTCTTCCCCCTTCTTCAGCTGGCCCCCATGCCACAGCAGGGCAGTGACTGAGCAGATGCTGAATTTGAGGGCTTGAGGGGTTAGCCTGACCCTGCTAATACACATGTGACTTCAAAGGTTAACTGCTCTGCTCAGAACCTTCCAGAAAAGCAGCATAGAGTGTCTGCTTAGCATGTAAAAGGGAAGAAGGAAAGACGGAAGGGAGAGAGGCAAGAAAGTAGGAAGGCCCATGTCGCCCTCACATCAGTACCAACCAGCCTCACCCTCACATCTCGAGGATCACCTGGATGACCATTCAGGGTCCAGGGCCCTCTGGGGACCTGCCCAGCCTACAAGTCCCATCTGTCTGCAGGTGCCTCCCCCTGTTCACGTGGCCCACCCTGTGTCACTTGACAGGCAAAGGGGATCTGAGCCCAGGGCTGCCCCTGGCTTGTCTCAAAGGCTTTGCTCCCCTAGCCAGAAGGCTCAAAGGGCCATCGGCCTTGCTTCCCCTGGCTGCCCTGGTGACGGGTCAGAAGGTTAAAGTCACTTTCGCTGGGTGAAGCTGAAGAATAGGAGAGATAACCTGAAGGCCAGAGGCTCCACTGCCCCGCTTCCCTCAAGACCTTTGTGACGATACTGAACCCATCTGAGGAGCCAGAGACCCTTCTTCCAATCTTGTCTGCAAGGTCCCTTCTGCCTCAGTGTGACACAGCTGCGGGCCTCGGGGAGGAGGAGGTGGGTAGCTTTGGCCTCTCCGCCAGCTGCAGGTGCCCTCTTACCAACTCTGAGCAGTATGAGGCGCAAAACCAGTAATTATGCCGACACGGTTCAATTCCCTGAAAATCTAGGAAGCCAGGAGGTGACGCAAATACTGAGAGGAGGGACACGCTGAGCCCGAGGACGGCTTGTTGAGGGAGACCCGTTCCCCTTGTACAGGCTAACTCAGAGGAGCAGAAGTGGTTGGAACAGCCACCTTGGGGGATCCAAGTGGTGGCAGATTCCGGTGCCAGTGGACGAGACAGGTAGATGGAGATCTTGACAGTGAGTCCAGTGAGTCTTGGAACACCACACACACACATACACATACACACACACACACACACACACACACACACACACACACACACACACACACACACACACACAGTGAAGCCCCTTTTCTTTGTGGATTGTAGCATGGGGAAGCCAAGGTCTGCCCACCTGCATATACACCACTGTTAGAGGGTCCTGGAAATACCCTGAAGCCAAATGCTGAGATGCATCTTAGAGGATGGAGTGCCTGTAGAACCAGGGTGGGTGATCCTTTGAAGTGGGCCTTTCCAAGCAAGGGCTTGCATAGGATTGCATAAGAGAGAGACCCCCTCATCCCTGGTGACCATGGCAAAGCCAACAGCTCAATGTGGTTGTTGACCATGGCAAGGCCAACGGCTCAATGTGGTTGTTGATGCTTAAATAGCTTTCTAAGACATTGTGATGACAGAGCCAAACAGTTCTTGTTCTATTGGACATGAAGTTCTGGAGTGAGTGACATCATGCTGGTGCTGACGGTGGCCTTGATCATTGGGTAGGCAGGGCAGTCCTGTGAATATGCCTGCGCTGGGCATGGTTTCTGGGTCCGTGCTCCCAGGGCCGCTGGCGGACCTGTGTGGGAAGCCTGTGTGTGCAGGCTGCCGGCTGCTGAAGGCTTGTCCTTTGTAACCCAGGCTCGCGTCGCTTTCCACCTGGGGCTGGCAGTTTCTGGAAGCCCTTTGCTGCAGAGACAGTCTCCTTTGACACTTCATACGTTGACTTGTATGAGCCTTTCACCTCTGTCCCTCTCCCTCCAGATCTCTGGGCCCAGGCCCAGGCCCAGAGTTTCACATGGCTCTCCACCCACCCATCTCTGCCTGTGTCAGCTTCTGTGTGGCTCCTGGGGACTCCTGTAAAATGCTGGGTCTGGCCCTCTCTCTCAGAACATCGGTGCCCCCAGGTGTGTCCTGAAGCCAGGTCACCCTAGAATGACACTGGGACAGGTGGTGCACTGTCCTCTTGTGACCTAACTTTTCCTTATCTCAGTTAACCAGCATGCCTGGTTCCCAGGCCTTGGCGGTACTCAGATGTGACCTCTGTCCCTTCAACCGGTGACTGCTCTGAACAAACAAGGATTCGACTCTGAATGAGGTTGTCATAAGAACGAAACAAAGATGTTGTCTGTCACTTCTGATGGGTGTGACCCCAAGGGGATAGTGGGGCACCTTTCCACTGGAAGTCGAGGACAGAGTAACTGGATCAGGAGCCAGCATGCTGTCCCAGGCACTCTGACAGCGTTGGTAACTGTCCTCAGCCCTAGCTTCTTAACTGTGATGTGGGGATAATGTCTATGGAGCAGGCTCGCAGCAGGAACAGAAATAGGGTGCATACTCAAGTGTGAATATGCATTCACATGTGAGAAAATAGTACTGTGCGTGCGTGCACATTTGTGGGGGTTGTGCATATGTGCACATGTGTGTATGGAACATGTACATGTGCATGTTCATTTATGTGAGTCCGTGCATATGCTTACATGTGTTCACATGCTTGATTGTGTGTAAGCACCTGTTTTCTGTCCCTCGCTGGGCCTGACATCTGTGTCTGGGGCGGACTCTTTTCTGTCCCAGGAGCTGGTGGCTGGTGCTTTGGGTGGTGGGTGTCCTTGCTGCTGATGGACCCATGGTGCTCCAGAGGGAGTATGGGAGACTGGGAAGGGCAGGACTGAGGGTGGAGCCGGCTGGGGTAATGGAAGCCCTGTGGTTGTAGAGGGGATGGTGTGGCTTGTGGGTGACTCTAGTCAGATCTCTCAACCCTCGTGAACCTCGCTGTCCTGTCTACAGTGGGACAGAATCTGGGAGAAGGGTCTCTGGGGGGCCCCTTATGGGGCAGGGCTGCTGTTCCTGCAGGGGACTTCAGACACCCAGGCACACATGAGGTTGAAGCCTGTTCCTGCTGAGTGGCTCAGCCTCTGGCCAGGTCATTCGACTGGCTCTGCTCCCTGTTTGTCCCAGGGACCTGGGCACTGTGCGATGGGCAGGCTCACTTAGTGTCACCCAGTCAGCACCTCACCTCATACTGAATGGGATTCCACCACAGCCCTCTGTGGCCAGGAAAGTCAGTAGCCGCGATAGGAAGTCAGGGTCGGGGTTGTGGGAACTGAAGCCTGACCCTCGCAAGGTAGTCCTGCCTGGCACATACCAGGCAGCTGGGGAAGTGAGCAGGGGTTAGGGACAGACTGAGGTACCAACTGTGTCTTTGAGGACTGGGAGGCCAACCCCAGGCTCCAGGGCCACCAAGTGAGCCCATCTGTGCAGGTGGCAGTGGGTGGGAAAGGAGAGTACTGACACACAGCAACACCAGATGGAGAAGGGAGAGATGGTTCACCATGGCAACAGCACAGTCCTCAGGGCCTCGCTGCTTCCTGGGGGTGCAGAGGCCTGTTCAGCACACCCGTGAGTCCACCCTGCAGTGGGCCCCATGCTTGCACTCATGTGGTACTTGGGGTGAGTACACAGCAACCCTTGTGTGGTGTGGACGTAGTTCACATATACAAGCATATACATACACAAACAAGAACAAACACACAGGACACATACATGCAGGCATGCGCAGAAACCCTGCCTGTGAAGGCCTCCAGAAGGGTGTTGGGTAGTGGGCCCACGAATGTACTCCCTCCTGTGGGTCTTTAGCTGTGAGCTGTTTATCCCGTCATCATAGCACAGGTTCTCTGCACTGGTGGCCCCTGCTCCCTGGTTCATTCCTTAGCCCTGCCTGGCCCTTATTCTGGCTCCCAAGGTCCCTCTCTTCACTAAGTGTGGGGTGGGGAGCATTCACGGAGGCCCAAGTAGGAAGTCCAGCCTGTGTTTGCAGCTGTCTGGGCCCTCAGGTTCATACTGTCTCCAGGAAGCCCTCCCAGCTGCCCCTTGGAAGAAGGCCTCCAGAGGATGTGGGGTGACTTAGGGCCTTCATGGTGAGGAAGGGCAGACTTAGGAGTTTATACTGTTCCCTAGCATACCTCTTTCTGTCTAGGGGACATGCTGTGCTGAGCTGGCCTCATGGGCCAGTTGTGAACACCAAATGTGCTGGGCCTACCCCTAGCTCTGGCTTTGCTGGGGTGCCCCAATTTGGGAGTAATATCTAGCTCAATAGTGGGGGGCTGGGAGCATGTCATATTGTCCCAAGCACCTCAGTTTCCCTGTCTGAGATGAGGGGGCTCATGTGGATCAGTAAAGGAGGGAGGTTCCTGCTGTCCCCAGGAGAGAAACAGCCCCAAGGAGACTTGGTGGAGGCAAGCAGAGGTCGGAGAACAGAGGCTCGCTGCTGCCCGGCAAAAGCAGTGCTACCTCCTCCTGTCGGCAGGCTCCCCACACCTTGGAGGTCAGTCAGGCCCTGGGCCTCAGAGCCTGGCCTCCAGCTGGCCAGTGCCACAGCTCAGCTCCATGATTTGCCCTGCCTGGCAGGGTCCTTAGCATCCTTCCAGCCCCAGAGTGGACAGAGCAGGGTGACCCAAGCCCATGGGTGACACAAGGATGGGTCCTTCCATAGCCTGGACCCTGACCTCACAGAGAGCTATCTGCAAATTGGACAACTGAGCCCACACTGGCCACCCCACCAGGACTGTAGGCTCTGGCTCTCGGGCCTTGTCCAAGAGCAGGGTCTTGGGCTGGCCTCTCAGAGCAAGGAGGCAGGTGCTGAGGCTCAGCCCAAGCTGTGGTGAGTCCAGGGTGGGAAGGGGGCTGAGGTAAGGACAGAGTAGCCACCTGAGCCCCTTGTGCCCTGCTTTCTTGCAGACGGAGCCCCACTCGGTGAGCTGTCCTGGTCGTCTTCCCTTGCCGTGGTCGCTGTGTCCTTCTTGGGGCTCTTCACCATCACTGTCCTCATGCTGGCCTGCCTGTGCTGCAAGAAGGGGGGCATCGGGTTCAAGGTGAGGGCGGCACACGGCATCCACCGGGCACCCAGCTCCCCTCCCTCCTGGGCTGTCATGATGGCTGTTTCTCTGGAACCACCTGGGGACTTCCAGATCCCCTTGCCTGGTATCTCACAGCCCCTCTTCTGAGGGCTCTTGGGAACCCCTGTTCACTGCCCCCTCATTTGGGAACCCCCTGTGTAGACATGACCTCATGCTGTCCCATTCCAGTGCCACGTCAGGCCAGTAGTACCCAGGGAGGCTGAGAATGACCTGAAGGGCCACCCGGGGCTCCTGAAAGGTCAAGACTCCAAGGGAAGAGGCTGTCTCTGTGGGGAACCTTAGGTCTCATTGGGAAAGTGAAGCCACGCAGACAGGCTCCCCAGTGCAGGGACCATCACTGGGGGCTCCCTTAGTCTGGGCATCTTCTGCCCAGGAGGCATGTATCCAACCCCAGAAGCCAGAGCACCTGTCCGTGGCCACAGCACCGCCCTATTTGTGGAGTGTCCACTGAGGCCCATGGCCTTCACTACACTGTCCCTGGGAGGCTGGACTCTAGAACTGAGGTCTCTGCTCCAATGATGGAGGTCAAGGGATATCCCTCCATCTTTCCAGCCCCTTGGCCACCCCCATCATACTGTGGCTGTGACCAGGGAAGAAATTTCAGGGAGGCGCCACCAGGGCCTGTGGGGGCCACGGTCTTGCCCGTCAGCACATTGCAGCCTGGCCGGAGCCCTCATCATTCCCTCTCCCACATGGGGCCGCAGGCCCAGCAGGTCAGATTCCTGCACTGAAGAGGTCAGGGCAGGAGGAGCCTGTGGCTGAGCACAGTACTCCATCTGTATTTCAGGGGCACCTCCCCACTGGGTGACCTGCACCCAGCTGCTGTTACCTTGTTTTAGAGTCCCAGGACCTGGCAGCACCAACCAGGGGAGCTAAGTGCCCGAGTGGCAGTGGGGGAGGTTGTGGAGCGTGCTCTGCCCTGGTGCAGCGGGGGACACGATCCCCTGACCACAGGCACGCAGCAGGCTGGCCAGGCAAGGCAGCTGCTTTCCTGGAGGGTCCTGAGGGCAGAGCCTCGAGGTCATGGGGGTGGTTGTGGGAACTCAGGGTGGGCCTTTTGTGGTCATTGTGTTGCAGCCCCTCCTGGGGCCCCAAGAACAAGGCCCCACACAAGGACCAGCAGCTGCCCCTCCTACCCGTGCCCTCCCCACCTCCTTGGGAACATGGTGCCCAGAACATTCTGACCACAGTGTGCCTTGATGGGAGGACCATTACCTCCTGCTTCCACAGTGGGCTCCCTGCTGGAGCTGTGCTGGGCAGGGGCTGGCAGCCCCAATGCTCACCCTGTGCTACCTGATCACCCGCTGTGCTGGTGGGACCTGGCTGGCCCTTAGGCCGCAAGGGCAGGTAACAGCTAGAGTCAGAGCTGATGGAGATCGGGGAGGTGGGCGGCTGCAAAGCCCACGTGTGTGGGAGGACCAGAGGGGCTTTCTGGGCTCTGGGGAGGGAGAGTTGCCACAGATACCCATGGCTCTGTGCTCAGAGTACAGACCAGGGCTGGCCAGCAGGAACAGAGGGCCACTCCCTTTATAGAAAGACAAATGACTTGGGGAAAGGAGAGATCCCCAGGGTGCATTTAGCTCTCTGTCCATAGGAGCACAGCCTGGAGTGGGCAGCCAGACTCCAGCTCTGTGGGAGTCCTCAGGCCTCAGAGCCTCAGTTCCCCACCTGGGCAGGAGTAAGGGGTAGGGCAGAGTGGCGGGGAGACTTGCCCAGCTTTTAGGACGAGCTGCTTTTGCTGTGTCCTTTTTGTTTGTTTTTGTTTTGTTACTGCTTTATTTCATTTGTTTTGTGGTGCTGGTCAGTGCTCTGCCACTGACCACATCCTTGTTTTAAATCAGGAGGTGACCTGTCCCAGACTAGGTCTCTGGGAATGTGCTCTGCATGCACGGGGTGGAGGTAGGGGTGCTCTCTCTCAGGCAGATGCATTGCAGAATAACGCCCTGCTCAGAAGTGGCCACCCAGGCTGCCTAGCAGCAGACTCTTGAGGGGTGTGGGGCACTAGTCGGGGCACAGTGGGGCAAGGGGCCACCAGCTGTATATAGGTAGGTGGCAGAGGTAAGGCAGTGGGCAGGTGTCCTATCCAGAGGTGGACATGGTCCCTGGGCTCCCTGCTCCTTGCCCAGCTGGGGGTGAGGACACCTAGTTACTTCTCCCAGGGATGGGTGGTGGAGCCCCTACAGCTGTGAATCCGCCACAAGCCGGGCCGGACCACCAGCAGAGTCCACAAGCGAAGGGCTGCTGGGGTATGGGTGGCCCTAGTCGCTCTGCATCTGTCCCTTGACCCCTGCCTCCAGCCCTTCCCCCAGGCAGGGCTCCACTAGGGATGCCCCACCTGAGGCCCTCGGCCCCCTCCTGGGACAGCTGTGCCAAGGAGGCAGGGCTTTCGAGCAGGTGTGCGAGGCCAGGCACAGGGGCACGAGGGCAGGGCCCCAGCTCCAGCGTCCAGTCTAGTCAAGCTCTGAGAAAACAGACTTTTTGGAGCCTGCCTCGGTGGTACACCGCTCATGACCTGTGCTGGCCGGCCTGACCTGCAGGAGTTTGAGAATGCTGAGGGGGACGAGTATGCGGCCGACTTCTCGGCAGAGGGCTCCCCGGCCGCAGCCGCGCAGAACGGGCCCGACGTGTACGTGCTGCCCCTCACTGAGGTCTCCCTGCCTATGGCCAAGCAGCCAGGTCGTTCAGGTGAGTGGGACAGGTAGGGTGGGGTGGGCCTACCTCTCCATTATGTGTTGAGGTCAGCAGGCTGTGGAGGCCTGAGAACTGGGTCCTGGAGGTGGGCACAGGAAGGGCTGGGCATGCTCAGGGCCATATGCAGTCGTAGGAGGCTGAGCTGTGGTTGGAAGGTGCATATACCCCCTTCAGGATCTAGGGTCCAACTGTCAGCAGGCTTGAAGGTAGCCTTATGTCTGTCACTTCCCTGTCCGAGGGGCTGTTATACAGAGGATGTGGTGGTGCAGTGGGGCTGGGGGAAGCCAGTGCTTTTGTTCTGGGATTAGTCACCCTTCTCTGTTGTATCCAGGGTGCTTGGCCCCAGATCCTTGCCCAACCCTATAGGAACGTGGCCTCTGATGCCTACCAAACAGGGCCTGCCCGCACAGCAAAGGGGTACAAGGGGTCAAGGAGAGGGCTGGGACCCACCTGAGGAGCAAGTATAGTCAGGGCCTCTGCCTGTGTCTCCCTTTTCCTTTGCCTGTTCCTCATTTGCCCTCATCCTGGAGTCTCTCATAGGCTCTAGAGGTGACAGGTAAATGGCCAAGTTTTAGAACCCCGGTTCTGTCCTGGTCAGAGTGGTGTCATTGAACTCTGACCTCCATAGCAGTCAGTGCTCAGGCCTTGTCTGCCTGGAAACTCCAGCCAAGGGCTGACCCTCACCGTCCACCTGACAGCTCTGGGAACGATGCTGAGGGTGTCAAGCTGAGAGGGATACTGGCGTCAACAGTCTGTGTCGGTACCACGCAGGGCTCATTACTGTGGTGACCAGCAGGCCGCTCTCCCCATCCTGATCCTAGCTCAGCTGCTACCACAATGCTTCCCACCAAGGGCCCGGCCTGCATCATGGAATAGAACTTTCAGTTCCTGTCTGGGCCTACAGGGACCTAGATGGAACATCCAGTCACCTGGTCCAGGACTGCACGCATGTCCCTATGGCAGCTGTCCTCAGCACCTCGTAAGAGGGCTTGGCTGTGCAAGGGCTCAGGCCTTCCTAGGGGCTTGGGTGTCTCCTAGACACTTCTGGGAGTGAGTGAGAGCCAGAGGCTGGCTGGGGGCATTGCCCGCCTGGACTGAACCTGGGCTTGTCAGTATAGAGCCAGAGGTGCACTTGAAACACATAGATTCTCTAACCTACCAGTAACCCACCCACCCCAGAAGAGTGGAGCTGGGAGAGAGGCTCTGTTCCTCCCTTGCTATAGCTGTTGTTTTCTGGGGCCATCCTCTTCTAAGGAATGAGAGATTTGAGGTGAGGCTAGGGTTGGAAACAGCAGAGGATATGTTTCCAGGCCAGGTCCCCCACTCTATCCTGCCCTCCAGCCTTCAGTGCCAGCACACTCCTACCCCCATGGCTACTCTGGTGTCCACTGTCAGGACCCCAGACTTGCTCTGGGACAAGTGAGGTCTTGGAGACCCCACGGTAGAAGAGACACATCCAGACAGACTGCGGTCGGGGGCCAAGTCTCAAGACACAGGGCCCAAGGGGACGCTTACCCTGAACTGGGCACCAAGCCAACATTCCCTGGGCTTCTGGTCCCTGGAGGCTGACCCTTCTCTTAGACACTCCCAGTAGCCAGGCTCAGCTGCTGCCCACCCTGGCCTTCTGGGCAGTCAGCGTGGGAGCAGAATTCGGGGAATCCAAGGGGACCATGAGTGGATACAGTGAGCCCTGGCCCCTTCTCTGCCCACATTGACCCTTCCTCCCCACTGACCTTACTCAGCCTGGCCTACAGGGAGAATGGGCCCAGTGTATCCCGTACAGGGCTGTGCCAAGCAGCCCCCAACAAAGGGCCTTTGGTGTGCCTAGTGCATGAATGCCAGCCTGTGGCAGGGGTGGGGGGTGGGCTGCTCCAGTGCCCTCCCCAGGCCTCGCACCAGCCTCTTGCCCCCGCCATCTGCCTGACTGGTATCACCCGTGCATCTGCTCTAGGCCCTGCGGTCTGGGTCTGGCTTATCCCTGTGACTCTGGGCACCCTTCCCCTGGCCTAATCAGAGATATGCCTGGATGGAGATTGGACTCTATGGCTCTGCTGACAGCAGCCACCCCAGATCTCAAGACTCTGGCCCCTGATGGTCAGCTCCCAGAGGTGGCCTCCACTTTAGGAGAGCCTCCTGGACTGTGGAACTTAAGAGTAACTCCCTGGGGCCTGGAAAGGAACATGGAGAGGTAACAGTGGTCAGGCAAGTCCTGAGCTTCCTGTGCTGTTACAGTGCAGCTTCTCAAGTCCACGGACCTGGGCCGGCACAGCCTTCTATACCTGAAGGAGATCGGCCACGGCTGGTTCGGGAAGGTAGGTACACCTCAGGGTGGTGGGAGCGGCAGGGTGTGGGCTTGCTTCTCCTGGGAGCCCCTTAGGGAGGGGGCTCTTCCCCACCCCCCAACCAGGCACTTGGGTCCTTCTTCCTCATTGTGGGTCCTAGAGATCAAGAACAGTGGGGGCCTTGGAGGTGGATTCTGGCAGAGTATTCTAGCTAGAGGGCTTGGTGGGAGGCTGAGGTACTGTGAGCCCAGTAACCTTTCCTGTGGAGACTAGAAATGGAGCTCAGGAAAGGGCCCTGGTGACGAAGACGCCTGTCGCATCTGGCAGGTGTTCTTGGGGGAGGTGCAGTCAGGCGTCAGTGGCACGCAGGTGGTGGTGAAGGAGCTGAAGGCCAGCGCCAGTGTTCAGGAGCAGATGCAGTTCTTGGAGGAGGCGCAGCCCTACCGGTGGGTGGCATGGGGGAGCGGGGGACCCAGCAGAGTGGGAGAGACAGGCGGTTGTGGGGAGGGAAGGGCTGTGCTGGGGCCTGGCTGGGTAACAAAGGCCAGCTCTGTGCTGTGCCCCGCTCCCGCCCTCTGAGTCAGCAGCTTGTGGGCTCTTGCAGGGCCCTACAGCACAGCAACCTGCTTCAGTGTCTGGCCCAGTGTGCCGAGGTCACCCCCTACCTGCTGGTTATGGAGTTCTGTCCACTGGTGAGTGGCTACCTGGGGAGGGGTGTTGCTTCTCAGGTCTCTGCCCTGAAAGGGAGTGGGGAGCCTTTCTGAGCTGGGTTCCTCTCCTGCCCTGCCTTTGGGGACCTCCCAGCACCTTTAAAGTGGAATCTCAGTAGGTCCTGACCCCTCTGCCTCCCAGTGGAGGCCTGTTCAGAGGGAGGGCTATGGAGGCTTGGGCAGTGTGCTCCCATAAGCTTCTCATCTGCCTAAGCTCTCGGAGCAGTCTGGGTGGTGGTTTAGCACGGAGTGTCCTGGGCCAGCCACAGGGCTCACACAACTCCCTGGGGCAGACCCTGAGTCCTGAGCCTGCACAATGCCCCTTGAGCCCCTTTTACATGCATTGCTCTGGTGCCAAGCGGAAGTCACCCGTGCTGAAGCCCCTATGGCAGTGTTGGAACGCAGGCCCCCTGGAGCTGGCTTTGTGACCGTTAGGGCTGCTCTCCGATCCTCTGGTCACCAGCTCCAGGTTCTCTCCAGGGTGAAGCCATAGGCTTGTGCCTAGCGGGCAGGTGACTGTGTGCTGTCTCTTGACAGGGGGACCTCAAAGGTTACCTGCGGAGCTGCCGGGTGACAGAATCCATGGCACCTGACCCCCTGACCCTGCAGCGTATGGCCTGTGAGGTGGCCTGTGGGGTCTTGCATCTACATCGCCACAACTATGTGCACAGGTGAGGGCTGGTGAGGCCAGCCAGGCTATGGCCACAAAGCCCCAGGCTGGTCCCCCAATGCCTTGACCCTCATATGGGATGCCTCTGTGCCTGGCGTCCTTGCTTCAGGAAGGCTATATGGTGACCCTGCTTTTCAGGGCCTTGTGAACGGGGTTCAGCTACACAGCATCAAATAGCCATTCTGCAAGGAATTTTATATTTCTTAAAATTGAGAAGACTGGGGCTTGAAACCCGCTTTGCAGGACAATTAAATGGAGAAGCCTATATTGTCTGCCATAGCATAGCGGTCAGCCACACTTGGGCCCCACATCAACCCCGGTCTGTCTCCCTCAGGCTGTAAAGGGAGTGGCTGGGCTGGCCCTGCAGTGGGGGTGGGAGGGGTGCTCTGTCCTGCCTCTGGTGATCTAAAGACAGGCCAGGACACCCAGCCTCCTATGAGCCAGGGGGAAGAAGTGGCGATGGACAAGTGGCCCTGCCAGCCCCGGCGCCGCACAGGCCGTCCTCCCCAACAATATCCTGGTGCTGAGTGATGACACAGGCGACTCCAGCATCAGTGATTTTGTTGAAGAGGGCAGCTGCCAGCCTCCTGTCCCGCCTGCCGCCTAGACCCAGCTGCCCTGCCCACAGACATGGACCTAGACCACCCCACCCTGCAGCTGTCCCCCAGCATAGTCCTCTTGGGGTTGAGGCAGGCCAGGGTGGCTCCATCCTCACCCCAAGAGTCCTCGGCACAGAAGCAGGATGGCAGATGCAGATGTACCCCACACACTCTGTTGCCCTGTGCCCCAAATATCCAAGTAGCCTCCAATCAAGCAAGAGGTGAAAGCCAGCAGGCCGCTGAGTTGGAGGAATTCCTGAGGTGACCTTCATGCTACATAGTTGGATGCTGTATGCCCTAGCCTCTTCTGGGCCTCAGCTCCAGCTCTGTGTAGCAGGGCAGGCCTAGGCTCTGGATCCTGGGCTCAGTGCTGTCAGGACCCCTTGAGACACTCTAGGCCTCAGTTTCCTCATTAATCCCCACCACCCAGGGAGTTGGGTGATGGTGCAGTGGGGGTGGGAGGGTAATGTTCCTAGAAGGACACAGCTGACTGGCAAGGCCAGGGCTCTGTGACTTGGGGCCACTGCTGGCTAGGTCGGCAGATGGGTGTCCCAGCAGAAGGGTAGACGAGGCTGGGTTCCAGCACTGACTGGGCAGCACCTTGCTGGGGCCCTTGCCCTAGCCTTTATTCTCATGAGCATGATCCTGTTTGAAGTGCTGTCCACATAGACCTTCCGATGTACCTGGTGCAGGGTGTGGTGCCAGGGCTTGGACACAGAGGGCAGCCTCTCAGATATCCCTTCTTCCTGCCTGGCTATGCCCAGGACCCCCTGAGGGACAAGCCACCCAGCTGTGGGAAAAGGACCCACAGTGCTGGACACCCCAGCCTGGCACACCTTGCTGACCCTGCCCCCTACCCTGCAGCGACCTGGCCTTGCGGAACTGCCTGCTTACAGCTGACCTGACGGTGAAGGTTGGCGACTACGGCCTGTCACATTGCAAATACAGGGTGAGTGGGGGCAGGCAGAGCCTGCATGCAGGGGTGGCTGCTGACTAGAGCTGACCCCTATCCTGTCCCCATGTGCTACAGGAAGACTACTTCGTAACTGCTGATCAGCTGTGGGTGCCGCTGCGCTGGATCGCGCCTGAGCTGGTGGACGAGGTGCATGGCAACCTGCTAGTGGTGGATCAGACCAAGACCAGCAATGTGTGGTGAGTGCAGGCCTGGCCTCTGGGAGGACCACAGTGTCAGACCTTGCAGCTGCTTGGTCCTTGCAGCTGGTTTGCAGTTCTGCCCCACCCACATTCCCATATCCTTCAGGCTGGTGAGTCAGCATGCTCACGCCTGCCACCCTGTGGCCTCATGAGGTCACACATGGGCTACAGGTGCCAAGTGGTCCCAGTGCTGGTAGAGGAACTGCCTTGACAACCAAACTGTCTCCAAGACAAGGCCAATTGACATCTACCAACATTGGGGCCAAAGTGTAGATGTAGTTAGAAACCCAGCGTGAGCAGCTGTCATGGGCCACGCGTCTGTGGGATACAGTTTTGGCTTGTACCTGTACCCCTGGAAAGGAGCAGCTGATGGGGTACTGCACTCTGGTCCTGGGAAGGCTGGCATGATGGTAGGTGGTCAGGGGTCCTGTTCGGCTGTGCACAGCCACATCTCACTGTGACTGCTCCTGCAGGTCCCTGGGCATAACCATCTGGGAGCTCTTCGAATTGGGTGCACAGCCCTACCCCCAGCACTCGGACCGGCAGGTGCTGGCTTACGCCGTCCGAGAGCAGCAGCTCAAGCTACCCAAGCCCCAGCTGCAGCTGACTCTGTCTGATCGCTGGTGAGGACACCACCATCCTGGACAGGAAGGCCGGGGGGGCACAGGTGGCTGCACTTCACAGCCTGGGGTGTTGTACCCCTACCTCCTCTTCCCTATGGCCTCTGGGACCCTCTGAAATGCCCCTGAGTCTCTGTAGCCTCAAGGATGGGGGAATCCCAGGACAGGTACCCCCGACCTCCTCCCCAGACCGTGGCATTGCCTTGGGAGAGTGCCTTAACTGCCCCCAAGGTACCCTGAGTGGGAGGGTGACTGGCTGTCCCTGGAGGGCAGGTTCCACCCTTGGCCAGTGTGCCTCTGGATGTGGCCAGGGCCACCCATGGGGACCTCCCGGCAGGTACGAGGTGATGCAGTTCTGCTGGCTGCAGCCAGAGCAGCGGCCCACAGCTGAGGAGGTCCACCTGCTGCTGTCCTACTTGTGCGCCAAGGGTACCACCGAAGTGGAGGAGGAGTTTGAGCGGCGCTGGCACTCCCTGCGGCCTGGTGGCAGCACCGGGTCAGGTTCCACAGGCCCCGCGCTGGGTGCTGCCGCTGAACTTGCTGCTGCCTCATCCTTCCCGCTGCTGGAGCAGTTCATGGGGGACGGCTTCCACGTGGACGGTGACGACGTGCTGACCGTAACCGAGACAAGCCACGGCCTCAACTTCGAATACAAGTGGGAGGCTGGCTGCGGTGCTGAGGCGTTTCCATCCCCGGGGGGTGCATGTAGCCCTGGCTCTGGAGCACGCCTGCGGGAGTTGTGTGCACCAGACAGTGCTCCACCTGGGGTGGTGCCGGTGCTCAGTGCACACAGCCCCTCAGTGGGCAGTGAATATTTCATCCGTCTGGAGGGGGCAGTGCCTGCGGCTGGCCACGACCCTGACTGTGCAGGCTGTGCCCCCAGCCCCCAAGCTGCAACTGACCAAGATGAAAATTCAGAGGGAAGCACCACTGCCTCACTGGTCATGGAGCCACTGCTGGGCCATGCACCCCCGACTGGGGGCCTGTGGGACCCCTGTGACCACCATCCAGGCAGGAGGCAGGAACTGTCCTCCCTGTCACGATCACCTTCTCTTGGGGCCCTGATGCTGGCAGAGACCAGGGATGAAGATGTAGACTGGAGCGTGGCCACCTTCTGCCCACCCTTCTTTGATGACCCACTGGGTGTATCACCCTCTGGGAGCCCTGAGGCCCAGCCATCCCCCAGTGATGAGGAGCTGGAGGAGGGCAAGGCAGGGAGGGCTGCCCAACATGGACACTGGAGCTCTAATATGTCAGCCAACAATAACAGTGGCAGCCGGGACCCAGAGTCCTGGGATCCTGGCTATGTGAGTAGCTTCACAGACAGCTACAGGGATGACTGCTCCAGCCTAGAGCAGACCCCACGGGCCTCCCCTGAGCTTGGCTACCACCTGGCCCAGGAGGATCCCAGAGAGTTTCTGCCTGAGCCTCTAGCAGCCTCTCCCAGTCAGGAGCCAAATCGCTGCTTCAGCCTACCCCCTCTGTGTCCTACCAAGAGCCTGTCACCTGCTGCCTGCCTGGTCACATCCCCCTGGACAGAGGCAGCTGTAGGTGGAGATGAAAACCTCCATGTGGAACCCAAGCTTGGCCAGGATGCTGAGGGCTCTGCTTGGCTCCAACCACCCCTTCTTTCTGTCCCTTCCCCATCCCACGAGGGAGCGCCACTTCCCTCAGAGGAAGCAAGTGCCCCTGACACCCTGCCTGCATCCCCCACGCCTGCTGCTGGCAGCTGGGTGACTGTCCCCAAGTTGGCCCCCACCCTGGACAGCAGCAGCTCCCCGGGGTTAGAGGCACCCAGCAGTGAGGATGAGGACACGACTGAGGCCACATCAGGCGTTTTCACTGACGTGTCCAGTGACGGCCCACAAACTGAGAAGCCAGGTGTAGTGCCAGCCTTGCGCTGTCTGCAGAAGCAGGTGGGGACTCCTGACTCCTTGGACTCTCTGGATATCCCATCTTCAGCCAGTGACGGTGGTTGTGAGGTCTTGATCCCGTCGGTTGCTGGTCCCCCTGGTGGGCAGCCTCGTGCCCTGGATAGTGGTTATGACACAGAGAACTATGAATCTCCCGAGTTTGTTCTCAAGGAGGCTCATGAGTCCAGTGAGCCTGAGGCCTTCGGGGAGCTGGCCTCAGAGGGTGACAGCCCAGGGCCCGAGACTCGGCTCTCTGTCTCCCTTGGTGGCCTCAGTGAGAAAAACCCCTACAGAGACTCTGCCTACTTCTCAGATCTGGATGCTGAGTCTGAGCCTACCTTTGGCTCTGAGACATGCAGTGGGGTCCAGGACCCCCAGAAGGAACCAGGCCTGAAAAGCCCACAGAGTCCTGGGCAGCCGGATGTTCAGGTTTTCCCCCGACCTGGAGTGACGAGGGAGGCCCCAGGCACTGACCCCAGGGAGGTGCTGTCCCCACCACAGCAGCCAGAGGAACCCTCGCCAGACAGTCCCAGGCCAGAGCCTCTTCAGGCTAAAGGCCCAGTCAAGGTACAGCCTGTGCCTGGCCCTAGCCACTCCAAATGTTTCCTGCTAACCCCAGTCCCACTGAGCTCAGAAGGCAATGGTATGGAGCCCCAGGGGCCCCTGGGACAATTGTCAGGGCCAGCCTGGCTGGGGCGGACCGGGAGCCCTGGCACACCCAGATCCCCGCTCTGCCTGGCTCTGCCTGGCCACTCTGGGGCTTTGGAGGGCCGGCCAGAGGAGGAAGAGGAGGACAGTGAGGACAGCGATGAATCGGATGAGGAGCTCCGCTGCTACAGCATCCAGGAGCCCAGCGAGGACAGTGAGGAGGAGTCCCCGGCTGTGCCCGTGGTGGTGGCTGAGAGCCAGAGCGCCCGAAATCTGCGCAGCTTGCTCAAGATGCCCAGCCTGCTCTCTGAGGCCTTCTGTGAGGACCTGGAACGCAAGAAGAAGGCTGTGTCCTTCTTCGATGACGTCACGGTCTACCTCTTCGACCAGGTGGGCTGCCGCTGCGGGCACTGCACGGGGCTGGGGGAGGGGACAGCCCCAGTCACACGACGCTCTGCCTCTCCAGGAGAGCCCCACCCGAGAGCTCGGGGAACCTTTCCCGGGTGTGAAGGAGTCTCCCCCTGCATTCCTGGAGGGCAGTCCCAGCTCACCCGGCGCCTCCAGCCAGCCTCAGCGGGCTGACGGCTCCACTCCGGAGGAGGGTGAGCGGGGGGCTGGGGTGGGGGGTGGGGGCACAGATGAGGTCTCGAGAGGGGCAGGCCCACGGTGTGGTATCATATGAAGCCGGGTGGGGGTCATAACATCACAACTGAGTCTGCAGCCTGACTTGCAGGTGGGTTCGAGTGGGATGAGGACTTCCCAATGGTGCCAGCCAAGGCTGCCTTGGCAACAGCACTGGACCCGGCCGCCCCTGCCCTGGCTGCACCGCCCACGACCGCTGCGCCCTTATCTCGTTTCACCGTGTCACCCACGCCTGCCTCCCGCTTTTCCATCACCCAGGTCTCTGACTCGGATGTCCAGTCAGTGGGAGGTGAGCACATCAGGGCCGAGGTGCGACTTCTTGAGGGGGCATGGGAGGAGTGCCAGTGGGGGAGGTAACCTGGAGGACTTCACCCTCTGAGCAGTGCACCTCCTGGCCCCGTGTCCAAGGGTACCTGGCCAGTGCCTTCTAGGCTCCAGGATCGGCCCTATCCCGCAGTTCTCCGCCCGACCTAGTTTCCCCTGCAACCTGCTGCAGCCTTGCCTCTAGAACGTTCCCAGCATGGTCTCCATGTGGACCATACCACCTCCTGGCAGATCTCAGATCTGGGCTTCTTGCCAGGAGCTCTTGTTGGGGCTCTAACCGGGGTGGTACCATAGCCCACTCGTCAGTCATGCACCCCCCTCCCCCGCCTGTATCAGGGCAGACTGCCCACGTGCTTCACAAGCTCCTTTCCCTCCCCCTCCCCTACATAGACCCAGCCCTTCCCTGGTTGCTTGTGGTCCTGGCAGCCGCCTTGAGGGAAGAGCTCCTCACCTTCACCCCTGGCACGAGGAAGCAATCTCCTTGTTTGGGCCTCAGTTTCCCCAGGTGTAGGACATAAAGGGCATTTGCTAAGGATTACTGGATCTGTCCGGGTAACAGAGCAGCAAGAGCAACGGATCCGTCTCCCCTCTAGACACAGGCCTAGGCCCACACGTGGGCCAGGAAGGGTTGTAAGCATGGGTGGGATAGTGCGAACCTGTCTCTGGTCATGCTCACACCACACCCCCTTTGCCAGGCCCTGTGGCAAGTGCTGGGGGCAGGTACACAGAGGCTTGAGACCCAGATAGTTCCACCCTTCGGAGGCTGGCATCACTGGACCCCCTGCCATTGTTCGGGCAGCAGCAAGGATGGTAACTGGGAATGGATGGGGACCATCGGGAGCCCCCACAGCATCCTGGAGGAGCAGGCCTGTCTCCAGCCCTGGATGACACCGGGGTGTGCATCTGCTCTGTGTTATCCTGGTGGCAGGATGTGTCCTGGGTAGACACTGGGGTTTGCTAGCCCCTGGAGATGCCTGTAGCCCAAGAACCTGTGAGCGTCCATACGCATATCATACACCTTCAAGAAGGGTTTCTGCAAGCCCAGGTGACGTCACTAGTCCCCACCCTTTCTCGGTGGCTGTTGTTGGACTGGTTGGCTCCCAGTGGGGACTACCCACCCCTGGCCGATGTGTTCATATGATACTTAGCCAGGCCCCAAGATGGCTTCAAGCCTGCAGGTCCCCTTCTGATCCTTCCACCCTTCTGACCTGGGTGTGGGTTTACTCAGAGCAAGGACAGGCCCTGAGCTCAAAGCCTGTGGCATGTCCCCTTCACTGCCTCTGAGAAGCCCTTCCCCACAGGTTCCGCCTGGGCCGTTCTGGCTGCCTAGGTCCTGCCAAGTAGCAGAGGTTTCAGACTGCCGCCTCAGAGAGACCCTCTCCTGGGTGGTGCAGGCAGCTCTCCTCAGCAGAGTAGTGCCCTGCCCTACACCCTGGTGGCCAAGAGCAGGGTGTGGGGCTCCTGCCTGCAGGCAGGGCTGGGAGAAAGCAGGGCTGGGGTGGGGCAACACAGGGAGTATTTTTATAACTTGGAGTGAATGGAAATGGGGTGATTCTAAGTTATTGTTGCCAAAGACATGTAAAGTTTATTGTTGCTTTTGGGGAGCACTTGTTTTTCGTGTTTTTCTTTTTTTAAATTAGTTTGAGGCTTAGGATGCTGGTGCAATGATTTTCTTGTTCCTTGTTTTTTAAGAGAAACCAAGCTAACAAAAAACCACCTTTTGTGCTCAGTATTTCCTTTTGGGTCTCGACCGCCCTGAGGAGATGGTGGACAGGGTGGAGCCCAGCTGCTCTCTACCCTTTCAACCCTGTGTGCCAGGTGGGAAGGTGCTTTCGACCATCTTTTCCTGCCCTCAAGCTGGCTAAGGACAGATGAAGAGGGACCTGCCAGGCCTTTCCAATGAGCCACCTGCCTGTCCAGACTGACCCTCAGCCCAGGGAGGCAGAACAGTGGCAAGCAGCTCTGCCTGGGTCTTCCTTCTCCCTCTCTAGCACTGCTGTCCATCTCATGGCACCACACCGTGTTATATCTGATAAAGTTCTACAAAAGGCCTTGCCTTTCAGCCACGTCCAGGAAACAGCTGGGAAGCTGGGCAGGGGCAGTGCAGTGTATATGAACGACGGCTCCAAAATGAGGGTGCAGGTGCCCCCTACCCTGCTCCTAGCCATGGACTAGGCCGACAGAGCACACACTGCACACAGTGGGCAGCTGTTTATTGACCAGATGTGTAGCTAAAAGCAGCAAGGGAGTGGGCTCCCTTCTGGCTACAAGCTGACAGAATGTCCGCCCATGTACAGGGTTCCACAGCTGGGACCAGTCACTTGCCCTCAGAGAGCTGGCCCTGTAGGCGCAGACCCATAACCAGTGGGCCTTGGCCTCTCAGGATGGCTACCTCCCCAGGAACACCTGGGATCCAGCCCAGGCCAGGCTAATGTAAGGCATAAATCTGCAGAGTGGGGTAAGGTGGTCTTCTCCAAACAGAACACGGAGCAATCACCCACTCAGCTGCATGGATGGGTGGGTGGGGGCAGCATGGCAATGCAGTAGTCAGCTGAGAAGTGGGGCTGACCTGTCATTGGTCACTGTTGGTTTCAGCTGGACATTGGCGAAAGGGTTCCTGAGGAAAGAAAAGCAGTTTCAGTTTGGGTGGGTGCCCTGGACAAGCGGTGCCACTCTGGCTACTACTCCTGAGACCCCCAGCACTGGACCCCAAAGGCCTATTTGCAGAGCTGAGTATTGTCTGAGACCGGCTAGCCCCCAGCACGGCCACCCTTTGTCAGCCCTCATGTTCCAGGCAGGGCAGCATAGTAGGTGGTGGTGGGGTCTAGCTGCTCCCCTCCTAACTCAGGGCCCTCTGACAGAGCCCTGAGGAAGACCTGCTGCAGTCTGGCAAGCTCCCACCCCAGGCTGAGCCCAAGGGGTGGGTGGCTGTGTCCCACTGTAGACAGCAAGCCACACAAACCAGCCCAGGCATGCAGAGAGCCGGGGTGGGGTGGGGGCACGCCGTAGACACGCAGACACGACAGACGTGAGGTGCACGTGCCCTGGCACCACAGGCTGGAGGATGGACACCACCTTGGCCAGACGGCAAATTCCTCTGCTAAGGGCTCGGCCACCTCCTCGTGTGGCAGCCGAGCCACCCGGGTGCCCCTTCGGCCATAGCTGATGCACAAACAGGACTTGAGACAAGAAGTGGAAATGGAACAGATGAGCACAGATGGGCTGCACCAGACCGGTCCTCCCGGCAGCCTGTCCTGCAGTTCCTGTCAGGCTTGGGAGGACCCACTCTGGTGGGGATGGCACAGAACAGGCGGGAGGGACCAGGCAGCTTCCATGGTGACAGCACAGATGGCGTGTGGACACGGGGACTTGAAGGCACAGGACTGTACTCCCAGGAAAGCATGCTTGGCACTGGAGCTATTACCTGGAGCCGGGTCACCTCGGCCCTGCTGGGTTTTTGGTTGGTGGCTGGCCCCAGGTTAGGGGTGCACACTCCGTTCAGAGTCCCCAGGAAGACCTACATGGGTAGAGTCTCCCTATGTTTTCCTGAAGACTGTTTTCTAAAAAATCTGAAAACACTTGGATTGTGTGAAGCACGGAGAAGAGACAGAGTCCATGCCGCCTTTCCCTCCTAGGCACTGTGTGCGTGGTTCCACGGCTGCCCATCTCTGCTTTGAGAGCCAGGGATTAAGGCCACTGTCCACTCTGCCGGCAGCTCGGTTCTGCCCTGTGCTGGGCTGATCTTCTGCTCTGGTCTATGTGGGTGGCTTCACTTCACCTGGAGGTGTGTAGGAACTGCTCAAGGTGTGAGGTACAAATGTTGCTGTTGCAGTGAGGGTGCCAGCTGGAAGCTCCGGCCCGGCCAAGCCATGCACCGCCCACTCCAGCTCCTAGAGGAGGGCTCCCAAGACAGGCCCTGGGAGACCTGGAATGAGGATGGGAACTTCCTATTCAGAGTGTGGGACACAGCAGCACAACAAACAGGCCTGTCTGACCCCGGTCTCAGAGCAGGGTCATCTTGGGACCAGGCCCAAAGAGAACAGCAGGTGTTTGCAGGATGTGCCTCTCTCCTGCCTTGACTTGGCTCACACTTGAAGTCATCAAAAGATGCTATCGCTGGCCAGGACCCATATGGAAGCTCAGGCCCAGAGTACTCTCAACCAAGAGGCAGAGCTGCCCTTGAACACTCTGCTCTCCCCTTCCCAAAGTCATGGGACCATTTGATGCACACAGAACTATCCACACAGTAAGATTCTAAGGAAATGGCTTGGGACCCAAAGCTGTCTAGTCAGAGGCTAATGACACTGGAGGATCAGAACTTCCACCCCAAGCAGACCTGGGAGCTTCCCAAGACCGCAGGTCTCAGAGGGGAAAGGCTAGGTGGTCATCAACTTTGGAACACTGGAAACAGGTGCTTCTGAGTGGCCCCAGCCAGCTGGTCTGTGTCCCCCTGGGCCTGGAGCCTGACCCTGAGGTGGCAGAATGACCAACCTCAGAGGTCAAGGCCACTACAAAGTCTTGCTCTGTGCGTGTCCCAGTAAGGAGAATCTGGGGACATGCTTTCTGAACACACCGGAGCAGACTAGTGCAGTTAACCTCCATGGGACATGGTCAGCATCTGGTATGCAGCCAAAAAGCATCACACCAGGAAGTATCCAAGAGCAGGAGGACAGAACATGTTCCAACTGGGAAACTCGGAGGATAAGACACCCCAGCCTTGGGATCCAGGAGTGATAGGCTGCTTCTCTGCAGTTACAGGTGTGGCTGAGGAACATAGTGGGACAGTGGCTGGGTAGTGAAGTCTGTACCAGCTGAGTGGAGGGTCTGAGGAGTCTCTCCCTGGCTCTACTGGCAGTCATCCATGAATAATGCCATGACCAGAAGCTTAGAACAGCTCAGCATCCTGTAGCTGTGTGACCTACCACTTATGCTGTTTCCCTAATCAACCACTAATGAGCAATCAGGTGAAGCTAGGAACAAAGAGTCTCTCTGTGCAACCTGTGCCTTACAGCAATGGCAAGGGAGACCAAGATGAGCAACTATGAATTTCCGTTCCTTCATCTACAGCTTCCCACTAGGCCTTGGCATCCTCAGAATCAAGTAGGTGAATCAAGGGTGAGCCTCAGCGCCTGCTGCCTGGCAGTGTGGATGGCAGCCTGGTACCTGCCCCTCCTGCAGCCCTACACTCAGGGTGAAACTGGGTGAGTGGACCCCAGGAAGAGGCTGCACCAGCCTCCTTGAGCCTCTGTCTTTCCCATGCACCTGCAGATGAGGGTGAACAGCCCCCACTGGCTCAGTGGGACCCAGGGTAGAAGATTTGCCATGCTTGGGCAGGAGATACAAGCTTTCCAGAGAGCATCTCAAGTGTGGAGCTAGAGGTGGGAGAAGGTGGCCTGCGTAAGGTCAGCCCCGGGTATTTCTACCCGGTCGCCAAATTTCAGCAGCATTTCTCACAGAACTCCAGAATTCATGCCACAGCTCTTCAGCAGAAAGACAGTGACAGTGGGGTGAGGCATTTAGTGGTCTGGATGCCTACAGGCTGAAATGCATCACTGTGATCCCCAGGGAGGTAATGACCACCACTCTTAAGGGATACAGGCCCTGGCTTCCTATGCCACCTGCCCTATGGTGTGGGTGGGGCGCACAAGACTCCTCCATTGGGGTGGGCAATGCACAGCAGTACCCTTCCTGCTTGCCCTGAGCAGTCTGTCTCTGCTCACTTCTCTAGCACCAAGGGAAAAAGCAGCCTGGCCAATGTCTTGGAGACATGTGGGGAGGTAGAGAGAGCCAGGAAACAAGACCTGATGGCAGAGGTCCATCTGGTCCTGGGTCTTGGACACTCAAAGTTCTGTTCAGCTTCAAGCTCCCCAGATGGGCTCAGCCCCACCCTCCCCCAGAGGAGCACCTAGGTAGGTGCTGCCTGGTCAGGGGGAGGCCTGGCTCAGCTGTTCACCAGGTCACCTTGTGATTGACTATGGCGAAGCACCCAGCAAGATAGGAGGGAACAGAGCTGGGCCAGTCCATATCCAACAGCAAAGGCAACAAAGGGACAGAGTCAGACCAGACCCACAAGCCTCCAGGCAGAAGAAGGAAGGAGACCAAGGAGCCCAGCCCGAGGAGGGAACCAGTGCCAAGAAGGCCCAGAGCCCAGATCAAGACAGCTCAGCAGATCCCCAGGCCCCGCCAGGCAGTGAACCCCTCCAGTGGAGGCTGACCTGGCCCAGGCCAGGGGGTCTAGCCATAGCCACTATAGATGTAGACAGATGGGCACAAGGCCAGGACAACTTACTAACTCTAGTCAAGGGCAGCTCAAAATCTGGCCACTTCCACATCGACACTGTAAGGAAAAATAGACTGGTTGGTAACGCTGGAGTGGCAGGTGGGTGTCTGGGGATCTGGGAAGCTCAAGGCCAGAAAGGATGGGGTACCTGGTTGGGCAGGTACAGGCTGTCAGGAAAGAACCTATAGCCTTTGGGCACATGCCTCCACTTGTCAGGCAGAGAAGGGGGAGCTAAGAGGTGACACTAAGGGGCATGCCAGCACAGGCAGGGTGTCCACTCCCTCTGCAGCCTGCACCAGGTCCTTCAAGGCCCTCTCTCTCAGCCAGGGCAGTGGGCCACCCAGGTGCCATCATTAGGCCAGCTGGACTGGCACTATCTTCAAGTCTAGATTGTGGGAAATGACTGCCAAGTGCTCTGCAAATGAGCAGAGAGAAGAGAGAAGAGAGATGGCTGTAAGGTGGGACGCACAGAGGAGTGGCCCACACAGCCCCAACATAAGCCTGGGAGCTGGAAGGAGGTGCCGAACCCAACTCAGTGCAATAAATAAAACTTTTATTCCAACAGTTAACTGCAATACAGGGCACAATTCAGATTTAAAAAAAAGGAAAAAGGAAAAAATATTTTCAACACTTTACATCTTCATACAAGTTTGCTGTTTTGTGTCTACATTCATCCACTGTGCATGGAGTCCCCTGGATTTGAAATCTTTTTAGCAAAATTAGAACACAGGAAGTTCTTTACACGGGTCCATGTTCTGGCCGTGTTTTCCTTAAATATAAAACAGAAGGTCTGCCTGTGCCTGAGCTGCTGCTTGCAGACACGACCAGCCACATCCTAGTCCTCGGCAGGTTTGCGGAAGGGTTTTGCTAACCACATCAGAGGTGCATCCGCAGCTTTCTAAGGGCTTCCACCAGCTGCAGGGCTGAGCCCGCTGCACCTTGGGCTTGGCTACCCAGAATTCAGTGTGTGAAGAGACAAAACCAGTAGCCACTGAGTCCAGTGTGCCTGTTTCTAAAGTCACCAAGACACACAGAAGACGAGAGCGCTTAGGAGGAGCCAGGCCAGGGCCTGCTTCTTCCCCCAGCCTCGCCAGGCTGGCCATGCGTACCCAGCCCTCTGCAGCCCAGGGGCGACAGATGGCCATGATTTCCCTCAAAAGGCTGGTTATAGAAACGATTCCCAAAAAACATGGGGGGTGGGGTGGTCTCGAGGTCTTTGGAATGTCCGCGTGTGGCCGGGCAGCACCTGCTCCCGACCCCTGCTCTCACCAGTGTACTGCATGAGGTAACGCCACCCCCGTGACAGGACGCCGCACTCTGCTCTACGAACACCTTCTCAGCAGTGTCCACTGAGGAAAGAGGCCCAGTGCCTGGCCTGATGGGCTGGGTAGGGCCGGGCTGGGGCTGCAGCCTCCATCACAGGAGTGGCCAGCTTCCTCAGGAGGCCCCGGAGGGCCCACGCAAGCCCCTTTTCTCGGTGCAGCCCTTGGAAGGGGCCTGGGGTGGGCCAAGGTTCTCAGATCTGAGCCCCCTCCTGTTCTAGAAGATGCCAGCACTCTGGGGGTCAGATGCAGAATAACAGTACGTACACCGGAGTCCATGCATGTCTGTGTTTTGTTTATAGGAAAAAAAATAGTCCTTTTTCCTATTTTTCTTTTTTTTTTTTTTTTTTTTTTTTTTTTTTTTAAAGAAAAAAAAAATTTCTTTTTTTTTTTTATAGGAAAAAAAAAAGTCCTTTTTCCTTTTTTTTTTTTTTTTTAAAGAAAAAAAAAATTTCTTTTTTTTTTTTATAGGAAAAAAAAAAGTCCTTTTTCCTTTTTTTTTTTTTTTTTTTTTTTTTTTTTTTTCTTTTTGAGATTTTTCTTTTTCTTCAAACTCTAGACCTGGCTCATAGCCAGCCTTAGAAAAGGGATGTGCATCGTGAACACCACAGGGCTAGGGCAGCAGGTGAGGACGCTGTTTTGCCACCCAGCCAGCAGGCCCCGCCTGGCAGTTTATGCTCAAGGCTGGGGACACCAGGTAGGGGCGTGAGCGCAGGGGGCGCAGGGAGCAGCACCATGGACCCTGGGGGAATCTCAGAGTCTGGGGTCACCAACCGAAAGGCGGGAGCAGGTGGGAAAGAAAACAACCCGAGAACAAACCAACGAGAGCTGAGAAGGGAAACCGATGGAGACGGGGGAGGAGCTCTTCTGAGCAGTTGCCTGGGGTCAGCGTCCTCACACTGTGGACACCAGCGTGCCACTGCCACTGTGGAACAAAAGCACAGGACAGCTGCCCAGACACATGCCCACTAGTCAGAGGCAACAGGCCTGCCCACCACCCGGCAACGGCCCTGTCGGCAGCCCTGGCCGGCCAGCACCAGGCCACCTGACCTCAGAGAGGATGATGGGGAGGACAAGGCTGTGCCAAGGGTGTCAGTTCAGCCTTGCTGCTCTCCTCCCTGGTTCTAGGGAGGCCTAGAGGTGGGCCAGCCATCCTCCCTAACTCTGCCCTCTAGAATGGACAGGGCCGGCCGGCTGGGGCATCAAGAGAGAGGGGCAGGGTGGAAGGGCGTGCTTGTTCTGCTCAAGAAAGAGTGGGAGCCCATGCGGGGGGAGGGTGGATCCAACTCCAGTGGCAGGCACGGGTCATGGGTTCCCAGAGGAAGCTTCTAGGTCCCAAGGGAGGGGTAACCCTAACCGAGCTCCTGATCACCTTCCCATATTCCCACATACAATTCAAAAGACTCTTACCTGCTCACAGACCGTGCCCCGTAGTCATCCAGACCCTGGGGAACAAAGACAGAGCAGTCAGGTTGGGCTCCAGAGACTGAGACCCATCCCCTTACCGAAAAAGTGTCCTTGGCACTGTCGCACAGGAGGGACCTGACTTTGAGGGTCGGAATGGGCTCCCCAAGAAGTTGGCCCTTTCCTACTTCCTTCTATCTCTGGCCACAGTGGTTGGGGACCTCTCAAGAGCCTATGGTTTCCAAAACCTATGGGGATGTGGTAACCTCTCAAATGAACTAGAACATCTTCCATCTTGGCCAGTAGCCAACTGGACTGAACTGTGTTTTCTGTAAATACAGAGCAGGTCACTTCATGACCTGCTCCCATGCATCAGAACGTCCCCAGAGCTGAAGCCCAAAAGCCCCCGTGGGGATGGTGAAGGGCGGTCAGGCATCTCGGAAGGCAAAAGCCTTCCTAGAAAGCAAAGCACGTTGGTGCTGGCCTTGGAAGAGGGAAGAAAGGTAATGGAAGGGGCTGCCTCAGGAAACTGATACCCGCCCATCCACCGCACACACCTGGACTGGCCCTGAGCTACATAACTGACTAGAAAGGGGCAGCTTAGGCATAGACGGTTGGCTGCACAAAGCTGCCCATCCTCATCAGGAGAGCTTAGCGCCAGGCATTTGGTAGGATCACCATCTCCCCAGAGGTTGGCTCATGCCCAAGGTCCACAACTCCAGCTGCGAGACTGGACACCCCTGCTGGCTACCTGCTGTAAGCACTAGCTCTAGAAGGCTCGAGCCAAGAACCAGTGCAGTCTAGACATACTCACATGCTCACACTCCCTGGAGGCAACAGGCCCATGGCCCCACAGCCTCATCCTACAAGCCAACCCTTAGGGCTGGATAGGTTCAGACACAGAGGGGATCTTGCCTCCTTCCAACCTGATCCCACAGTCTCAGGTCATTCTGCGACCAGGCCTCCTCAGGTATAGGGACACCTTGAGGGGTGTTGCACAGGAGGCCCAAGACTTGGAAATGGTGGGCTCTCTGTTTCCCTACATCTGTGGGGCTGGAGCAGACCAATGGTTTTCAAACTTGAATATACTTGAGATTTTTTTTTTTTACATTTTATTAATTTATTTTGTGTGTATGTGTATTTATGCGCTTGTGTATGTACGTGTGTGTGTGTGTGTGGGTGTGAGAGAGAGAGAGAGGAGGGGGGGAGGGAGGGAGAGGGGGGGAGGGAGTATGTTTGCCACAGCAGCATGCATGTGGGGGTCAGAGGACAACTTGCAGGAGTCAAGTTTTCTCCTTTCACCGTGTGGGTTCTAGGGAGTAAACTGGGCTTATCAGGCTTGGCAGCAAGCACCTTTCCCTGCCGAATCTCATCAGCTCACTGGATACACTTCTGAGACCCCCAGGATGACAGGAGGAGTCACTATCCAGTCCGATCTGAATACCCAGACTACTACTTGCATAGGGACCTGCCAGAGACCACCTCCAGGGTTTAGAATCCAGGCCTTAACCAACTACCTCCGGCCTCTGGGGCAAGGTGGCCTGACCAAGGTCACACTAACTTCTTAGAAGGCTTTGGGCAGCAGGAGCTCATGTTACCAGCTGGACACAACTAACCACCCTATAGATCTCAGTCCTCTCTGACCCCTGACCCCAGGGTGGTAGTGAGCACCCAGGATGACTTTGGGCCAACCTCCCTGCAGCCCACACCCCACACAATGGCAGTGAGCAGATCCAGGCTGGCAGGGTGTGGCCACAGAGCCTCTGCCTCAGGCCTGTCAGGCAAGAGACCCAGACACTAGCCAGCATCAGCTCCCAGACCCCTGGGAGAGGACAGCTTAGGGTACCAGCCCAGCCCATTTGCCTTCCAGGCAGATCTGTCCCAGTTCCACACGTGATGGCTCACCTGGGAGAAGGCGGGAACAGCTACACTGTAGGGCCTCTGCTTGAAAGTGCCTGCTGTTTGGGGGGGGAAGACCCGGGATGATGTGCTGTAGTCAGGAGGCGGGATGGCCAGGTCGTCCTTGTCCAGGAGGTTGCCGGTGCTGCTGCTCTTGCCCTGCTGCAGACTGTGGGGATGAAGGGCTCAGTGGCTGGTAGCCAGGTGTCTCGGGAAGCCCAACACACAGGCCAGGGTTCTCTGGGGATAACCACCCTCTCCTTCCCCATACCTCAGCTCCACTGGGCTGCTCTCAACAGCCACACAGACCTCACAGATCTGTCCCTCTGGCCTCCTTGCCCACTCAAGGCCCAGGTGTCCTGACTGTGCATGAAAACACACTGGAAGGAAACTGCCAGGGCCCAGTGGAGCCCTGCATGGACTGTAGCTATTGACCTCACCAAGGCAGCTGGGATTCTCCAAGGGTCAGGAGAACCCGAAGACTCTCAGGAGCCTAAGGAGGCCGGCAGGACAGATGTGTGCAGATCACGACAGGCAAGCTTAACAACCACCCCACTAGTACTTGCTGTTCCTCCAGACATTCTCAGTGCTCCTGGGCCCCCAACTTCTAGAACACCAGAGGTCACTACAGCACCCAACATCCTCCCACCCATGGCCTCAAACATGCAGTGGGACCTGTGAGGGGGCCTCTTTGGGAGAAGGATGAGCTGGAGGCCCAGTCCAGTTTTGTACCCAGGAGACCCTACCTAGCCAGTATGCTCACCTCATGTGCAACCTGTCACTTCCATCGCCGTCCAAGACTCGGGTGTAGGAGAAAGGAAACCAGCCCCGCCTGGAAGACAGGCCCTAGGTGAGAGGGCCCAGGCTCCACTCCATTCCACAGGCCCTCCAGATACATGACAGGACAATATACTGGCCCTTGTCAGATCCCAAGTCCCACTAGTTCCCAGCCTGTCCTTATCTGTCTGCAGAAGGATAGATGCTCACGCTCTAGGGAGACCAAGGATGTGGCCTGTGCTGTATGTGCACTTGGTTGGCCAAGGGTGAGGCACCTTAGCAGCCCTGCCTGGTGGAGCTGTGGGTTTGACCACCTGCACCACACCTGCCACTCATCCCCTTACCATGATGAGTCACAGCTCCAACGCCTGAGGAGTCACTGTGATAGAGGCAAGTGGGGCCTCCCCACTCCTCAGGGACCTCTGCTAGGCTCCCTGTCCATTATGTGGCTGCCACTGGGCTACAGCAAAGCTCAGTTTAGGTCCCCTATTGGCTACTGTGGCTTAGCCACGTGGGTCAGAAAACATACTCAGACAAAAACTGCTTTTGGGGAAGGGGCTACCTCCAGGCAGCACCAAAGCTAGACTACTGACTCTGTTAACAGGTGTTCAGTTAGGCTGAACTGGGTGGCCCTGTAAGTATGACATGGCTGAAGGCTATTCAGATCCACAGGAGCCATGGGGGAGGAAGGGAGGGCTTCTCAGGCCAGCCAAGTCCTACTTTGCCATCTATTACCTGGGAAACTATAGGCCCCATCAAGGAAATGGTCGGATATGCCACAGTGCTTATGCACAGGACAGTGTCCTGTGCCAAATAACTGGCAAAGGAAGATGACAGAGCGATGAGGTGACAGCCAATGGCTGCTGTAAATATCAGGCTACATGGGAAAAAGTCCTGGGGGTTTGGAGGACCCATCTTTCTTGCCCAGGTTTCCCAGTAGGAGACTGATCTTGCCAGCACATCTGAGTTCTGTCATCCATGCCTGCTTACTAAAGGGGGTCAGGTTGCTTCAAACTCGCTCCCCCCAGTTGGGTGCTCACATTTTGGTCTTCTCGCTCTCGCCATAGTGCCAGCCATCACGGGCCTCAGGCACCAGCAGGGTGATGAGGTCGCCCTCCTTGAAGCTCAGCAGGGTGCTGTTGTCGCCAGCCGCATGAGAGAAAATGGCCTTGACCCGCATGCGGCCGTTGCGTTCCAGGCCAGCTGCCATGGAGCTTGAGCGTGGCAGGGTCTTGTTCTCAGCTGCCAAGACAACAGAGGTGTTGTGTGAGGGGCCTATCCATGGCAGATGGAGCCTGCATGTAGGTGCTAACAGCACTCACAGACCAGATGCAGGCTGGGATGAAAGGAGATGTACACAGTCAACTGAAGCCCCTCCACCCCCTAGACTGTCTGGATGCTTTTAAATCACTGAGTGAGCCAAAAAGGTCCTGGTCTCACTCTAGCATGCCACGTTCCATGCACACATGTAACATAACCATGCATGTACCATTAGCATGTTCTTACAGACATACACATGCATACTGCTCCAGGCATATGCACATATATACCATGTAGAAATACACTCATCTCTACATATATGCTCACACATCCCCAGTCATGTACACGCACAGGCACTCACAAGCCGTGCTTCCCCAGACCAGTACCCTCAGGCCCTTACTGGTCGCATAGCTGTTCTTTGGGGTCACGCTCTTGCGCACGGGGAGTGTGTTGGAGTACGAGTCACTCAGCTTGCTCTGAGACTGCGGGGGAGACAGGGATTTGGGCTGGGCAGCCTTGCGGTCAGCCCAGGGGTTGTAGTCCTCGCTGTCCGGGCCTGCGATGCCATTCATGACAGGTACATTCTCCTGCGCAGACATCCGCTGGAGGAAGAGGAGGTAGGGGCAGGGTGTCGCTGGGAGCCTGCTTGGGTAATCCTGTGCCCCCACCCCCACAGGGGCCTCGAGCTCAGCCTATCAGGTCTGCCCCCTGGAGGACAAGTTGCTACCCTCGTAACTCCAGAACTCACCCCCACAAATGGTGCTAATTCAGGTGGCACTGGCAGGGGCTTGGCCCCAGGAATGGGGTCTGAGATGACCAGGTTGGACTTGGAGGCTGACAAGGCGCTGGGCAGGATGGAGCCATTGCTGCTGGCCATCTGCTGCATCAGCTGGACGGCACGATCTGGGATCTTGTTGGGGTCAGCACAGGCCTGCTGCCACAGAGGCAGCTTCTGGGCTAGCAACTCCTTGCCCTGGAGTGGAAGACACAGGGAGGAAGTCAGGAGTATACTGGTTCCTGCAGTGGGCACAGCCTAGGAGCACCTCTCTGAGCACCAACACCTTGCAAGTGGCCTCACCTGGCCCAGTCTAACTCTTTACCAAAGGTTCCTCATAGCGAAACTTGCCATCTATGAGGCCTTACATCTTGAAAGGGGCTTTCCTCTAAAGGGCTTGGTGTGCTCATGTGCTGGGCCATGGGGAGAACACCAGGGTGAAATCAAACCAAGGCCCAGTCCTGGCAGTGCCTCCCCAGGGGCCTGGAGGAAGGAGAAATGGGTGGGCTCACATAGCCAGCCTAGGACAAGAAGAAGAAAACCACACCACACCAGGCACAGTGGGAGAGATGGGTCAAATTTGGGGACAGGATAGAGCTGCCCAGCCAGTCAGGCCAGGCTGCTTAGGATGTGGGAAGGTGTACCCTGTCTGGAGATGGGCCTGTCTCAGGCACAGCCAACCCCACAAGTATCAAGAGTGAATATGGGATGAGAAAATCACAGGCACGACAGAGTTCTGGTTTACGGTCTTCAGTCTGTCTGAAGGAACTCAAGGACCTGGGAGAAGCTGTGCCTGGCATCTGGGTACAGGTTAGGCAGTCACAGCTCATATCTATTAGGCCAAGTGGGTTTCCAGGGCTGTAACATTGCGGCAGGTCAGATCCCACCACCCTGAGATGGCCACACCTGCAGGCAGCATCAAGACTTCTGTCTTCAGTTCCTACATACAGCAGCAGGGTGCTAAGGTCAGCGTCATCCCATGCACCACGCAAGGCTTGTGAGGACGCAGATGCCTTCCACCAGCTCAGCACTGCACCTTGCAGCAGATCCATGGCCAGTGCACATAGGGAGGCTGGGCTGGGAAGGGACCTGTAGCTTTCACAGTAGGGACAGAATGTGGCCAGTGTGTCTCCTGGGACACAGGTGCAATTCTGGCCAAGCTCTGAACCTGCCCACAACTAGAACAGGTTCAGGAGAAGAGGAGAAGCCTCTAGGCTTTTGTCTTCTTGGTGCCCATGGCCCTGGTGATCAGAGCAGAGGCTCTAGGTCATGTGTGCACAGTGCACATGTGAATGGTCTCATGAACACCAGCATGAGCAGAGCACGTCAGTGTGCATGATACTGACCCCTGGACCACCTTTGCTCACAAAGGACGTGACCAGGGCCTCTGGTTGGCTTCGGTTGTCTACATCTGAGCTCTCTGAATGTTTTGGATTGATCTAGGGGACACAATCGGATCCCCACTTCAGTTCCTGCAGGTGCCTGAGCTACAGGATTCTAATTCAAACCTGTTTCTAGCAAGGAGCCTGCCATCTGGTTCCTGCCTGCTCCCTGGGGGCTGTGTCAGCCTTCTGAACACACTAGGTCTCTGAACCCTTGACTCCTAGGCCCCAGGCTATACAAGGAAGGAAGCCCCCATGGCAGCTTATCCTGAAGGAGCTGACTCCTTTAGAGCAGCTTTCTTTGTTCAGCAAGGCTGAGCCAGGTTTTAGAATGTGGCACCTCCCAGGAAATGTGGGTCTGTGGTGGCAAGTCCCAAGTGGGGAGAATGAGTGGGGCCTAGGAGGGGCCTCAGCAAACTTGATGAGTGGAGTTTTCTCAGGTGTTAGGTAGGAAACCTCCAAGTGGCTGAGTATTCAAGCCCCACCAAAAGGTCTAGAGCTTGATGGCACTCACAGCAAGTGACTCTGAAGAGTCCAGAACAGGCTCCTATAGCAGTGAGGGGTGGGGGGGGCAGGGGCTAAGAGCCAGAGATTTGGGACCCCAGCAGGGCTCATGGCTGCCCAGGAGGTAGAGGAGCGGGGCAGGTGTGGGCTGGGATGAGGGTGGCCAAGTCCATGGGACAGCCAAACTGTGGCAGCTGGTAGACATTAAGTTGGGGAGGACCAGGTGGCTGGTGACATGGCCTGGTGGCCTTGGAGGCTGGGGGTCCTTAGTACCACAGCTGTGCACAGCCACAGGCCTAGAGATGGCCCAGAGATTTAGATGGGCATGTAACCAGGATGATGGCATGAAGGCACAAAGCCAAGGTTGCCAGAGGCTGTGGGTTACTCCCTCCCAAGCCTCCTAGGCCTTAGCTGTGCCCAGAGAGACAAGGGATGACTTAGAAAGCCGGACAACCTGCCCTCTGAATCTTCCTTAGCAGGTGGTCAGTTGTAGCCCTCTCAAAACATCCAGCAATTGTTGAGTTCTCACCCCAAAAACTGACCTGGTAATTCTCACTCTAGGACTGTTCCTGACAGCTCCAGGAGTACAGGGGTGCCTGTCCCAAGATTAATGTGCTCCCTGATGGGGTTGGGGCACAACAGCAAGTTCCTTCTGGCCAACAAGTGAGCAGCCCCCGAAGCCCACGGCACTAGCTCACCTTGGAGTGATAGGCGGCGGAGTTCTTGGCCACAGCGCACTGCTTCTCCACCAGGAAGCAGAACCTTCTGCGCTCCTCAGTGAGCGCCGTCTTGTAGCCATCAGACACGTAGTTTTCCAGCTCACCCTGCTTGTTGCTGATGGCATCGATGTACTAGGGGGCAGGAAGCAGAATAGGCCAGGGAGAGAACACAGGGCAGGCCCTGTTTGAGTTGAGTTAGGCAACATGTCTAAGCATCCTTGGGGCCATCCCTGATCTGCCTGCCCATGCTAACCAGAATCTTGTCTCCCGTAGGGGGCCTGGGTGGAGGGATTCCTGGGTTTTTCATACACACACAGTTTAAACTGTATGTGTATATTCACATGTGTATAAGGAGCGTATGTGCGTGCGTGGGTAGGCATGCACATAGAGGCCAGATGCCGATACTGGGTGTCTTGATCGCGCTCCCCTTCACTTACTAGAGCAGGGTCTCTCACTGAACATAAAGCTCCCCAATTCTGCAAGTCTAAGCTGCTCCTGGGATCCCATCTCCACCTGCCAAGTCTGAGATAACAGGTATGTGCTTCCAAGCCACCTAGTGTTTAAGTGGGTGCTGGGGAACTGAACTCCGGTCCTCATGCCTACATGACAAGTGCTTTATCCACCGAGTCATCTCCCTAATACACCTGTAGTGTAGACAGGGTGTCCACGGAGCCAGGCCAGTTTTGAACTATGTAACTCAGGCTTGCCTTGAACTTGAGGTAATCCTCTGGCCTCCACTGCCCATGCTGGGATTAGAAGTATGGGCACTAGGTCCAGCTTTTTTTAGACTCTTGCTGAGAAGGGGAAGGCACACAGATGCCAGTGGCAGATCAGTCCCTCCACAGGCTTCAGCTACAGCACAGAATCATCAGAGTGGAGGGGCTCCCCAACACCAGCCCGTGTGTCCTGGCTCCATGAGCCACAGGGCTTTCTTAGTTGACACTGACCAAGGGGACTCAGGTAAGCCTGCTGAGGAGGTCCCTACAGGCTGCTCTGTGCTCCGCTCCCGCCACTGAGCAAGTGGAAAGACAGGGAACTGAACATACTTTGGGTTATTCCACGGAAGCCCACACCCAGGTGAGGGCATAAGAGACTGTCTGTGGGGCAGTGAGGCCCCTCCCCAGAGACATGTGGGTCACCCTCACCGGCACAGGGTATGTGAGAAGCCCTCATGGAGTAAGAACTGAAAAATGACCCCAGCCCTTGCCTTTTCACCTGGGTTACCTGGGGGCTCAATCCAGGTGGCTTTGCAAGGCCCCTCAGCCTCACAGCTGCTCTGGGTTCAGGAGAAACACATGGTCAAGAAATTCTGTGGAAGTCCCCTCTCTCCCCCATCTAGAGATCCAACCTCTTTTTTTTTTTTAATTTTTAAAATTTTTTATTTTTTTGAGACAGGGTCTCCCTGTAGCCCCAGCTGTCCTGGAACTCACTATATAGACCAGGCTGGCCTTGAACTCACAGAGATCCGCCTGCCTCTGCTGGGATTAAAGATGTGTGCCTCCACGCCTAGCATTTCTTTTTAAATTTTAAAAACATTTTATTATTTTTATTTTATGTGTATGTGTGTATTGTCTGCATGTAGGTAAGTGCACCCGTGTCATGCAATGCTCTTGGAGGACAGAAGAGGCTGTTGGATCCCCTGGAACTGGAGTCATGGACAGTTGTTAGCTGCCATGTGGGTGCTGGGATTTGAACCCGGGTCTTCTGCAAGAACAACCAGTGTTCTTAACTGCTGAGCCATCTCTCCAACCCTAAGATCCAACCTCTTTATAGTCCCTAAGGTCACAGGTCTGGTGTTGGCCACCAATGGCTTTTCTATCCCAGCCACTCTGAGCTTCCTGGGAATACAATCTATCCAGAAATTTTCTTGCCAAAAGTTCCCAAGCTCCATGCAAGCCTTCAGTCCTGACTACTCATTTCGAATATGCCAAGGACTAGGAGAAACTCTGAGCACAGGCAGTATCATAGAGACAGGAAGGGGAGGCCACAGTGGATGGTTAGTGGGGACGTCTCAGTCAGGTGGGTACTTGCCCAGCACAGAAGCCCTGGGTTTCATTCCCAGTATCACAGAAATATAATAAAAATAAAGCAGAGAGGGCTGGGGATGTAGCTCAGTTGGTAGAATGCAAAGTTCTGAGATCCATCTCTACCACAACATAAACAAGGTGAGGTGGCACAGGCCTGTCTGTGATCCCAGCACTTGAGAGGTGGAGGCAGGAGGAGCAGAGCTAAAGGTCATCCTCAGCTACATAGTTTGAGGCTAGCCTGGGATACTTGAGACCCTGTCCTTCATTTTTTTTTTTTCAAATGGGTATGAGTGTATTGTCTGCAATGTAAGTAGGTGTGTCCATATCACACAATGCCTGCAGAGGTCAGAAGAGGGTGTTGGATTCCCCTGGAACTGGAGTTATGGACGGTTAACTTAGCCACCTTGTGAGTGTGCTGGAACTCAAACCCGGGTCCTCTGCAAGAGCAGCCAGTGCTCTTAACTGCTGAGTCATCTCTCTCCAGCCCTGAGACCTTGTCATTCTTTTTTTTTTAAATTTTTTGGTCTTTTTGAGACAGGGTCTCCAGGGTCTCCCAGTAGCCTCAGCTGGCTTGGAACTCACTATGTAGACCAGGCTGGCCTTGAAGTTACAGAGATCTGCCTGCCTCTGCCTCTTGAGTGCTGGCTCAAAGGTGTGTGCCACTATGCCGGGCAACCCTGTCTTTCTTAAAGTGCTGTTTAGTTGTCCACTTAAAAACAGTTAAAATGAGCTGGCCACACCCCAGCACTTGGGAGGCAGAGACAGGCAGATCTCTGTGAGTTTAAGGCTAGCCTGATCTCCACAGCCAATCCAGGCAAGCTGTGGCTACAGGGAGACCTTGTCTCAAAAAGACAAAAAACAAACAAACAAACAACAGTTAAAATGGTAAACTGTATGTTATATGTATTTCACAACTGAAAGTCTTGAACATTGATACAAGTCTTCTACAATGAAAAAGCTATGGACAAATAGTGCCACTGTGAGAGGCTGGTGCCCTGGCTGGGGGCCTGCCTCCCTGCCAGGAGGCACCAGGAAGGAGTGGCAGGACAGCTCCAAGACTTTGCCTCTGGGAGGAATATACCCACCCTTCTTACCTCCTTACTGGTCTGCCCCCCCCCACCCCCCAGGACCTGGCTGGTAGAGTATACATCCAAGGTCTGGTGACTGCACAGTACTCAGTTATAGCTAAAACCTTCTGCCATAGCCCGTATGTCAAGAACGACCAATGCCCACCCAGATACCGGCAGAAAATTTCTGTTACAAAATGCAGGCGAACCTGTAGATGGCTGGGAAGGTTTGCAACATCCTCAGGTAGGCACCCAGATCCCTCCCAATGCACCCCCTGCAGCTACCCCACGAGAGCTGAACCCCACTGGCATGGACAGAGCACTCAGCCTTGCTGCCCAGGAGCAGTTTTAGCTAGAGTGCTTCCTAAGGTGGCCATCCTCCAGCAGGGGGCAGGCCTGAGCCACCTGGGTGTTAAGAGGCTGACTCACAGCCACCTTGGAGCTCTGACTCAGTGTGGGTGGGCGGCTTAGCCGTGGGCGACAGAGGGGGTTGGAGCAGGCTGTTCCCTCAGCACCTCCCCACACAGGGCTCAGCTGGAGGAACAGGAGAGGGGGAGCCCAGCTGGGTGGGGACTGGCCCAACATGGCCATACTACATGCACCAACTCTGCCTGCCAGTCAGCATGACTATCCCAAGATCAGGGCCTGTCCTATCTTGTCACCAGCTTACACACACCTTTGCTCCTACAACCCCTTCAGTCCAACTCCACTCCTCCCTGGCAGGACCAAATTAGATGCGTGAGACCAGGCCCAAGTCTTCTTTAGGGGCTGCAAGGCCAGCCCAGGATCCCAGGACAGGTCTTCTGAAGACAGAAGTCAGAATACCAGGTGAGAGGCCCCAGGGCAGCCCTGAGACTCCAGCCAGAGGGGTATGGTGGTGGCAGCCTCTGCCTCCTCCCTCTCCTCCTCCACAGCCCCGAGTACTTTTCCTATGGTTACGCAACATGCGCCTGCCTACCAGGGCTTCCTGCTCCCTGAACCTCCCCTGCACTCTGAAGATGGGTGGGGCATTCAGCCTTGTGGCCCCCACAGGAAAGCTCTAGGTAGGTAGGGAGGAGGCTCAGCCTGGGTGCCTGCTGACTTCTTCTCAAGCTTTAGAGAAGACTGGTCAGATGGAGGCCAGGTATACTCAGGGTCAGAGAGGGGTGGGCTGTGCAGGGAAATGTCAGGAGAGGAGCATACCCCCTAGCAACAACACAGGTCAGCACCTAGCATTAGCCTTTCTTACTCACGCTGACCCAGACCATCACCTGTCTGGGTCTGGGGCACTATGGCCTTCCGGACTCTACTTCCCTGTCCTGACCTCAGGGACAGGGAGGGGCTTGGCTTGGTGGCCAGTTCAGGAGTGTCCAAGGTTCTTGAGGCTAAGTGAACTCCAATCTAGCCTGTCCTTAGGCTGTTCCCTTCCTTCCCAGGGAGTGCTCAAGGAGAGCACAGCCAAAAGGGGCTTCGCCACAGATTCTTTTGAGACCCAAGGTGCTGAGAATGGCAAGGAGAGGGTGTCGGTGACGGGTCATTAGCTAGGAGACTTCAGAGAAGAGGCAGCACTTGGGACGGTCACCTAGGACAGCAGCATAAACCAGGCCACAAGGCCCCCTGGGTCTCCTTCCAAACTGAGGCATGAAGCCAGCCTACCACCACCAGTTTCTGGGTTTGTAGGCTGCGTACTACCATGACACTGAGGTCCTTGGCTCCCTGGGGTGCAGTGCACTGGGACGGGCCTGGGCCTCATTACCAGGGTCTAGCAGCCTGTGTGTTGGGAGGGCATGGTGTTCTATTTTTAAGATTTCCACTTGCTCAAGTACCCCAGAAAAGATGGTAACCTCACAGGTCACAAGTGGGAGCCCAGGGGAGGCCCAGGGAGAGAAGAGGGGCCAGAGCCTCAGTAGCGCTCTGGAGTGGAGAGGGCTGTAAAAATTCCTAGCTGGGAGGCAGGAAAGAAGGGATGTTTCTTCAGCCACATGCCCACCTGGGAGAGGGACAAGCTTGGGCTATGGCACAGCTAAGTCGGCCAGTGACACGTAGCTGCCACTTCTGT